GAAGACCAACAGAGGGGCAGCCGCGCCACTGTTCCAGTAAGAGCTGAGGAGAGTCCCAGATGAGGGTTCACTCAGCAGCCGCGGAGCAGAAGCCAGGGGGAGTTGCAGTGACGCGCCCATGAGCTCCGCCGGCCGCCAGCTGTGCCTGAGTGACCGAGCCCCAGGCCGAGAGGCCGGGGGCACCCCACCCCCGAAGGGGCCCGAGCGAGCCCCAGGCTCCAGGCCCCGATAAGCGGCCGCCAAGGAGTGAGCCGGTGTGTACCTGGACGCCCACCCCCAGACACAAAGAACCACCAACGCACCGACACCTGAGGGAGTCCGCCACCGGCAGGGGAAGTGGTGGTAGGTGGAGATAGGCCTCCAAACCTTGGAGGGCCTGAGGTGTCCCCAGAGAGGTGGCGTCTGATACCCAACCTGACATATAGACACAGACATACAGGCACACACAGACACAAACATCCATTCCCCCCCTCATGCTCTCATATGCTCGTTTTTCACTCTGAGTTTTCCAAACCGGCTTCCTGAAACAGGGCCCAGGACACTAGCCTGTGAAGGGAATCATTTTTCCATGGCAGCCTTGTTGCATTATGTTTAAGTGGCTTTAAGAGCAGAATAAAGCCCTGACTTTCCACAGGGCTTTATTCTTTTCCTGTTTATCAGTTACAAGACAATAAAACTTCCAACTATTAAATAATAACTATTATAACTTGAAAAGACTAAATTCTGATCCTAGGTTATCTGAGCCATTCAGTAACCACAGATATGCTGAAGAATGTTTTGCTCCAGAATGTTTCATGAGAATTCAACTGAATATCATGGTTTGGGGTTGATGACCCATCAACCTTTGAATCTATAATTTCATTCATTGTTGTTTTGATTTGGAGAAGTGGGCTTTGAGGTCTCCAGTTTAGTCATAAATAACTTTAGGCTTAATTGTGAACTTACTCTTCCCTTTGTCTCATCTCTGGGTTTCATCCTTTAGTACCTTCCATGTTAAGGCTATCATGTTTCTGATGCTTTTGTCAGGCTTGTGTGTCTTAATTCTGTGTGCTTATCTTTCCTGTTTTATTTTGATAGTCCCTTGTCTTGCGTGCTAAATGTTCCGTTTTGCTTCCTCTGTCTAATTTGTCCCTGTTGTTTTTCCCAGCCCTCCCCTACTCATCCTCCTGTGTATATATTGTGTATGTGTTGTGTCAGTCTCCCTTTGTTTATCTGTTCAGTTTCCCTCAGTGTTATCTAGCCCCTTGTACCTCTGAGTATTTTCCCAGTTTAGGTTGTGTAATCCAAGGTTTTTAGTTTCTTTTGTATTTTCATGCTCAGTTTTTGTTCTTGGAAGTTCAATCTAATAAACCACCCGCTTTTATTTAAGATGATCTTGTCTCCAAGTGTCTGCACATCACACTTGGTTTCCACAAACCTTTGACACTGAAAGGGTTCTTATTCCCCCTTCTAGATATAATAATGGCTAAAAGCTTCAGAGTCCTACATTAAACAGTTCTTAATATTACAGATGGTACATCTGTCACACTGTCCCTGCTCAGGCTCTTCAAAAGATGATATGTCTTCCTCTTAGCTTTCAACTTCTTGCTCTGATATCTGGCCTTCCTCCACCTCATCATACCCTGACAGCAATGAGACTGATTCTGCTTCCACAGTTCTGAATAAAATCCTTTGGGCCTCTTTCTGCTCTCTGCATCCTGAAGTATGAGAATTGGTTCAAAGCCAGTAGGGCACTGAATAAAAGTTATGTTTTGGAAGGGTAAAATTACTTTACATTCCTGAAATCCTACTTAATCCCAGTCCCTGTCAGAACTGTTGCTGCAGCTTTCTGAATCAACTGGGAGCTTTTTGTTCAGGGAGCCTTTATGGCAGTCTGCTGAATTACTTTGAGTTGTCAAGCCTGGAAGTAATAACTTCATGAATCTTTTCAGCATCTCTTTGAAACAGGATGTTTCTAACTTTGGAGTTATTGTGCAAATGAAGGGCCAGCCTTATATATTTGATATGCACATCAGTAACTAAAGCTGACTAATTGCTTGCAACCTATTGGGACTTATTAAGTATGAAATATATTTGTAATAGGTGGATATCGGTCTGGCTCCAAGATGAATTTGATTAAACTAGTATATCCAACATCAGTCAAAAGAGCATGTGCCCAGACCTTAGTTCAGCTAAGACTAGTCCCCCCCCCCTTTCCTACTCTTGTGCACATAGTAAGTGGTAGTAAAGACTTTTAATGCTACAGTCACACTTCCGTCCGTGGCTCATGGTCACTGACATTAGCAAATGTCAGCAAGTTAAGAATGTAAAAATGTTAAAAAGTATTCCTTTATATTGGGGGTTACTGATTAGATGTGCTTACTTTATGTCAGTTTTCTGTGTGTGACACACAGTTTTTGGCATTTAACATTATCTGGTGACTACAGCTGCGCTATAACAGTTACAGTAGGAACACTGTGCCAAGAATGAAGGCAGTTCTGTGGATGACTTCAGCCCTGCTAGTGTGTTTAAGCCAAGTCTATGAAAACTTCTAAATCAATATTAGTACTGAGAGGGAGTAAAAAGAAGAATAATTAAAAAGCACAAGTTGTCTACCAGGACTAGTTCTTAAAGAAAAGCAAACAGTTATAAACTGAATTCCTTTAGCTTATTTGTTTCTTGCAGTGTACGGTGTATCCATATAAATGGCCCACCCTGTATTTCATGTTTTTAGTAGTGATTTTATAAGACCACAAGCAAGTTGTGCAGCAAACATAGTAGTTAGCTGGAGGTATGTTAATTTAATATATTTGACGTTAAAAAAAAGGATATTTATGCAGTGCAATGTAATATATATTGTATTGCCTGCTACAGGACAGGCTGCACATGTGAATTTGTCACTGTTTTTTCCTCCTCCTTTTTTTTGCATTTTCCTCCCAAGTTGGTTTTAGAGTACGGTCACATTTTAAAACTGATTTTTTTATTTTGGGTTTGCTTTTATGCCTACTGGGTGCAATATTGGTCAGGCAAATGCGCAATCCCTGAGCTGAGCTCTTACCTTAGAGAGATTAGGCCTTGCATAGGTGCTCACTGTGAGTGGAGTTGCTGTGCTTAAGATTGTAGTGCTACCAATCTTTGAACTTAATCTGTTCGATGACAGGTTTTCTTTAACAAACTCAGAAAACTTGATTTTCTCTCTGAGTCCTCACCTTCTGCTGCATTTTAACCAGGTGACTAACATGATAATTCAGTTCTTCATTAATAAAGTTGCAAAGATGTGAGAATTCATTTGCCGAATTCTACAATTTTCATGAAACATTGGTTTGCTTAATTATTTTTGTACTTAACATTACTGCTTTCACAGTTATTCAGCTCTCAGCGACAGTGACTACGTCACAGATTTATTATCAGCTCAGAATCAAATCTATAGACTCCATCTCTGTAATTCTGTAGACAGTAATGCTGTCAGTTAGTTTTCTTACACTGCGAACATTTACTGTACGTTACAAACTATGTGGTAATTGGTCACATTGATCTTTTTCAACTAACGCATGTGTTTAAATCAGGTTGAACAAGAAACTCAGAGTTGATCAATTTGTTTTTAAACTCAGAGTTTGAATCTGCTTCCTGGAACAGGGCCCTGACATTATAAAGAATGCAGAATTTTTAAAGCACTTTGTTTTCATTTAACAGCAGTACCATTAAAAAGTATAGTGAATTTAAATGTTTCAGCTTCTGTTTCAATCCTTTTCAGACCAGTTTGAAAGTACTGCAGGATGATGCCACCCAGTCTGCTGCAGCTGAAGCCCGACCAGCTTCTCAGAATTGGTCCACTACTGGGAGTGACAGAACTACCAACCAGAACCGGGCAGGCTCACAGGCAGCAACAGAACAAGCTACAGGAAATGACAGGCTGCCTAGCCATTGCTCTGCAGCTGAAAAGAATTCAGCTTTGAATCAGGCTGCTGTGGAGAAAAACCATATCAGGCCTGATACTGGTGAGGGGAGACAAACAAGAAATATGTCAGCAAAAGCAGTCAGCCAGCCATCACAAGCATCCATCGAGCAGAGACAGAGAAAGATACAGCAAGACCTGTGAACAGTCCTTTGTTTCTCAGTGCATCAGAAAATGACAGAAACCTATAAAAATAAATACACCTGAACAATAGTAATGTTGACCAGTTGTAATGAATCCATTTTCAGCATGTGAATTATGGAAAGGAAAAAAATGGTAATACAAGGAAATGTTATTGGTGTTGCCTGAAATGTTACTGATTGCACTCAAACTGCCCACTATATCAGCCCTTCACTTCTCCTGTGCCTTTTACCTCTAATCTGATTTTTTTTTTGTCAAGTTGACACTCCAATCAAGAATCTCTTATTGTTCCATCAGCTGACCAGTGTAATGAGTTCCAGCATTACTGAATGATGGAGAAGAATAAAATACATTGTTCTCTCACACACGCTGTTGGTTAGTGGTAGGTTCAGCAGCATTTTGCAGCTTTAGTCTGTCACATTTGTAAAGCTTTGTATACACTGGGTTCTGTTTTATAAAGCTAATCATTGGGAAATTGTAAGCAGCCCATTTTTGTCTCCCACTATATCAAACCATGAACGGATGAAGTCAGAGTTTTTGGCAAATACTGTGGTGTTTATCCTCCATCTTTGTTAATCCAGACTGTATTAATTTGGAATCTGTGGGTGCTCCCAGAAGACGGGGTATGTGTTCATTTATTACACGAAATGGGTTGATTGGATACTTCATAATTCAATCCAGAAGCAGGGCATGTGACCATGAAATGAAAATTGGCAGTGCCCAAAAAAAAAAAAAAAAAAGGCAAGAGGGGCATTCTCACAGAATATTTTTAATCTACTTTTTACACTATAAACTTTAATTACTGCCCTACGAAGAAGTAGATGCAGAAATTTAGTTTTTAGCCAAATTAAAGTGAAATTAATCTCACTGATTATTATCCGTTATATATTCTAAAAGTGGAACAGATTTGTCTAATTAGCTGAATGAATGCAAGTTTCAGTGGAAAGACATACCTTTGTGTCTTCAGTGCATATCTTTGTTGGGCTGTGTTAAAAACATGCTGTTCAACAGGTGGCTAATGGATGGACACTTTCTCTCAGAGAGAAATAGCTACTTTTGTCTGCTCTGTTATTCACAACAGGTTGCCACAGTGGCTAACTCTGCATGCAGGAAAGGTAAATAGACTAGTTCTTATGTAGCATTTATCTACTCGAGCACTTTATACAAGATGTCTCATTTACCCATTTATACATCAGTGTTCAACCGCTTTCTATGTAACATTCACACCCACTCACAATCAAATGAATACATCAGGATTCAGTATCTTACCCAAGGATACTTTGGCATGCTTTTATCAGCCCAGTTTAATGCAAAAGAGTGTAAACTGGTCTGAAGCAAGTTAGATGTGCAATATAAATTTAATCTAGTCAAGGGATCCATTCATCCTCTTAACTGTTTATCAGATTTAGATTTGGGCATGGGAGCCTGAAGCCAAGAGTCACCTGAGCTGGTTACCAGTCCATCACAAGACCAACAGAAAAATGGTCAATGACTCATGCTCACATTCACACCTGCAGAAAATTTACAACCAAAAGTTAACCTAACGTGCATGTCTTTGGACTGTAGGAAGAAGCTACGGTGCCCAAAGAGAACCTACACAGACACAAGGAGAACATATAAACTCCAAATAAAACTTTCAGTTGGCACATTTGAACCCAGACTTTTAATCCTGTGAGCCAACAGAAAGAACCCAGTGTACTGCTTTTGTGATATTGAAAACTCAACATACCTTGTTAACCCATTACCCTTTATAGTGCACCCCGCAGAATTAAATAAAAACATATGTACTTATTGGAAAAAGGAGCTGAGGTATTTAAGAAAGCAAAAATTCCTATTTAAAAAAAAAAAAAAAGAAAAAAAAAAGAAAGACAGACAGAAAGATCAGACTGCAAATGGGACCCGGCGTCTGTCCCGTCTCAACAACTGTGTAGTTGTTGTAACATGTGACAGATGTACACTATTTATAGATCTGGCCTGAGGTTTGAATTAGGCTGCTGGTGCGAAAGGCCATAGCAAGCCTGATACTGGTGAGGGGAGACAAACAAGTAATATGTCAGCTAGCCATCACAAGCATTGACTACATATTGACCGTAGGTTTCAACCTACAGTCAATAGGTTTCATAATAAGCACATGGGTTTTCTCTCGTCTTCATTTTAAAACAATGAGTTAATGATGAGTGCAGTTTCACACACAATGCAATTACCCAAATGCATTAACAATACATACATACATACAACACATGGAGTTGGTTGTCTGCTTATAGCTCTTTGATTCTGTGAAGAGACAACATGTCATCACAAAGTTTGGTCAAACTTGCTTCAAAGTGACAATTTGCTTAGAGCACTTAGTTGATGTTTGATAAATAAAACATTTTAACAAGGCACACAAGTCCCAAGTTCAGTTTGTCAGATTTTGATCAAAATAGTTTTTAATCTGCCAGGAAGAACTAACATCTATGTCTATTGATGAGGTACAGTCAGCTTTGTGGTGATTCTGATTTTCGTAATGATCAACCAGTCCTTCTGAGTAGCTGTGACCTTTATCTTCAGACACGAAGAGGCTGAGCTGTACTTTTTATCCATCTCCTGCATTTTAAACTTTCCATTCTCAAATGTTCCCACTGACTCAAACTCTGTACAACTCTTCTCTTTGTCTGTGGCCACCACATTGTGACCCATCTCCACCTCACCTGACTCCAGGATGTCTTTGCCTCCTGAACCTGTTTCTACAAATATCCCTGTCACCACAGTAGGTTCAGTAAACACTACAGTCAGGCAATTTCCTTTTTCTGGGGTGCGGCCCCAGAAGAATCCTTCGCCAGCATCCCAGGCCAGCTTGGGGAAGTGCTTCTGATAGGTGGACATGTCAGAGTAAACTTCAGCTGAAGGATTGGTATAGACATCCTCCTCAAAATCCTTGTCTTTCAGCTTATTGTATGTGCCTTGAAATGAGGAGAAAGTTCCCATGTGTTGAAACAGCGAGGGTTTGAAAAGGATGGTCTCCTTTTGAGTCATCACCTCTCGGAAGTGAGTCATCAACCAGTCACAGGGCATTTCCTGGTAAAAGATGAAGAGGAAGCGAGCCAGAAGAGGAAGATGGGCTGATTTGTAGAGTTTACCAATATAGCCGAGGGCAGAGAATTCCAACGTTGCCCAGGTGAACTTCTTTCCTTCTTGCTCCTCAACTCGCTTTTTAATGGTTGTGAGGAAGTTTTTTGCAGAGAACACATCATCCTCTAGCTGGAGGTAATACCGTCCAAGACCTGCACAGTAGTGGATGAGGAAGGAATAATCCAGGTTCTGCTTGGAGCGGAACGTCACCCTTTCTGGAGCATCGTTGAAATTCCTCTTCAGACCTACAGAGAACCAGACAGATTTGTATCACAGGAAAAAAAAACCATTCAAACTGTATGTGAATGAATATGTACACTAGGGATGATCGCATGTGAGCTGCACCTGTAATCGGAGGGTACCAGTCCTGGGGAACATGGATGACCAAAATGTGGCCTTTTTCCAACTCAGAGGCAAAAGCTGATTTGATCTCCTTCACAGTGTCGACTCTCCAGCTGACGTCGAAATCTGCTAGCAGCACTACCACCACCATGAAGGAGTGCTCCTCAGGAGACGACTGGGAGAAGATGGATTTCAATGTGGGGACCAGATAGCTGCCCTTCTTCCTCTTTACTGAGGATAATCCAACAGATAAATACTCTGAAGCCGAAAGAAAAAGGAAAAAAAGTGAAGGGTTTTATGCCATTTCAAATCTAAAGCTGAGGTTAAAAAGTATTTCTGATAACAATTATTAAATAATGTGGTATGAAATTCAGCATGGTAACACCTTCAGACTGTGAGTAAATAAAAGTAAAACAAAAAAAGGAGAATTAGCATTGAAATAAAAGCAATAAATGCATGACATAAATACCAAAATAATACAAAATAAGTCTGTGAAGGTTCTCAATCATCCAGGTCATCGTAGTCAAAGGAGCTTGCAAAGAAAAGCGTCTGGACTTCTTTAAGTTGCTTGAAGACGTTTCACCTCTAATCCGAGAAGCTTCTTCAGTTCTAAGGGTCAAATGGTGGGGAGTCCCAGATTTAAACCTAGTGGGAGTAACCCCCCACAGAGGGACAAAAGGACCCCCTGATGATCCTCTAATCGCCTGAGCCAAGGTGTGAAACTGGGTGTGGGTCCCAATCAGCCAGAGTTTCAGGTGAGCTCATTGTGAAACCTGGCCCCACCTTATCATGTGAATTCCTGAAGTCAGATGGCCCAGGATGTGAGTGGGCATTAAGGCGTCTGGGGAGGGAACTCAAAACTGGATTATAGATGGCAGAGAGTTGGTGTCGTAAACCACCGCCTCTGTTCAAAGATCTTTGAACAGAGGCGGTTTAAATCTGGGACTCCCCCCATTTGACCTTAGAACTGAAGAAGCTTCTCGGATGAGAGGTGAAACGTCTTCAAGCAACTTAAAGAAGTCCAGACGCTTTTCTTTGCAAGCTCCTTTGAATACAAAATAAGGCACAACTGCTCATACAAATAGGAATATGCAAGTGACAGTGAAAAAACGCATTCCATAGTTTCCATAAGTTAGAGAACAACACCGGAAAGTGCTGTCATTATTTCTCTACGTGACTTTTTGCAATTTCTTTTTTTTTTTTTTACAGTTTGAAAAGGCAGCAGCAGCCTTATTATAATAATGAGAACAAAGTGTGGAGACTCACTCTGTTGAGTAGGTAGCACTCCAGCAAGCAGCTGATAGGACACATTGAAACTCAGATAATCTGCCTGGTCAATCCAGGACTCCATACTAACCGGTCTGTCTGCTTGCCATGTTAACTCATTAAGAACTATTTCAGGTGACCTTGCAAAGACCTGCAAAACAACAACAACAAAAACAAACCCAAAAGACAAAAACATGATTATTGTCTGATTAGAATATACACGTTGATGAGTGAGACAATGCACTATCTTTGTTACTTTGCAAAGCAAGATGAGAGCAAGTGCAGTTACAGGGATGGTGACTTATACAAGTCTACCTCCAAGTAAGTAAGGTGCACAGTTTGAAAAATAACTCAAATATTCTATGTGTAGGTGTGTTCTTACAGCCAGAAGGAAGTCCGAATGGTTAATGAAGTATAATCCCCCAATGACAAGCAGCACTGCCACAACAATATTCTTCTTCTTCGAATGAATCCGCATTTCCTATCACAAACACATACGTGATATTCCATCCATTATGCTGGTGTGTGACGCAGTACAACTGTAAATAATTCGGCCAATAGTTAATGATTCAGAAGGCTTGGACACAGGTTACACGGAACTGAGTGTGTTGTTGTAACTTAGAGTCTCATATATACACTTTGTATGCATCAGATACAGTTTTACTGAACACTGTTGCTCTGGTGTAAATAACCCTGTGTCGCAAGTTGCAAAAGCCCTTTAACATATTCTATAGAGATGCACATTGAGAACCACTTACAGTTCAGGACAAGAAACAAAATTGTCCCATTCAGTACATTTCTCATTTTATCTCATCTTTTACCAGTGCTGGAACTTGGTGAAAGTTCAATAAGTGAGCTTTCTGTGGGGCTATGTGAAACAGTGATGACACAGAGTGCTGACTGACCCTGATAAATTTTCTTTCTAATGTTAATGTTTTTTAAGATATTAATTGTCAGTGGTCTAGTTCTACTTGATCACAGTAAAAACACAGTTCAGTTTGGCTACAGGTATTTAGTACTAGAATGTGGCACAAAAGGATGAACACCACTCCTCCAGCAGATAAGTGTTGATTTGGCATTTTGGTGATGTTAAACACTGTAAGAAATCCCATTTGGGTTGAGATCCGGTGACTGAAGGCCACAGCATAAAGCCCTTTCAGTCAACCCACTCAGTGAAGTGTGACTATAACTAATTGTTTTAGCTACAGACAATTTATTTGTACTGATGTATTTAAATGCAAAAAACTCATTTCAAACACAAGCCCGCTGAGCAATCTGTTAAAGTTTGAGACAAACTCATGTGGCAGGCTCAGCCTTTATGGCACTGTATCCTAACTACCTAAATCTACTCGAGCAAAACCATCTGCAGCAACTGTTTATTATTTATTCAGCTTCCCCCCCTTTAATTTTTCCCTTGTCTGAATATTTCCTACAGCCATTACATAGCAGTCTCCCTCAGACGGAGTTTCTGCCAGTGTCGACTGTTACTGTAACCTTTTTTCTTCTTGTTTGGTTACATTGTTTCCGAGTTCTAAACGGAGGAAAGGGCAGAGAGGTTACAGGGAAGCAGTAAACAAACACTGTAGATGATAAGAATGAGGTTTATAGCCAGGCTGCCCTACTCTTTTGTTTTTTTAAACGCACTGAGAAGTAAGGACAAGTAAGGAGATATGAAAAGCGTTGCGTAGTCTCATGTCAGACTAATCCTTAGAGCCAGGCTAGAGGACAAGCTTTACTTAGATTTTTAAAATGCCTTTGTTTTGTCAACGAGTACAGGGTCACTTCATAGAAGATACCAATTATAGCCGAGGCCACCTCATCTATAATTAGTACGCGGTCTCCTCTTTGATTTTTGCAATGTAACGCTCGCTGAAACAAACGCTTCCCGAACAGAACGACGAAACCGCAGTTACCCAAAAATGACAGAGTATAGAGAGCTGTCCGTGTGTTTTACCTTAAACAGCACTAATAATTTGAAGGTACCGCAAGAAAACTAGCCAGTCCTATGGAACGTTTTCAGATAGTGTCTACAAACAAGTGACTTCCGTAGAAGATATTTCAAGTTAAGAAATCCGGGAGATTTTTTTCTTGCTACCGTCTCTGCGCGATCAGGCTTTAAAAAAAGCCATGTCAATAGGGTTTAGCAATGATTTCCAACCGTCTCTCATAACACAAACACAGCCACACCGAAAAGTCTTGTATGAACCCACAGCTACGGTAAATGAGAAGAGTCCAAATAAAGAGTTAGCAGAAGGTACAGTAAATGAGCTAAACCAGGCATCCATCCATCCCGTCACTGAAAACAAAAAGCAGCTGCTGTGAGTCGGAACATAAATTATAAAGCTAATAAACTTGTGCCTGACCGGTATCTCCACTCACCTCCCTCCGCCGGTTGTCCTCAGCTCGATGGATAACAGTTAGTGAACGAGTTGCAGTCACGGCGTGATAATACTTACAGTACAACGCACCGAAAGTCAGAAAAGGCACTCACGGAAATGAAAAATGACTCGCCCCTTGGAACCCATGCATATAAACCAGTACTGCCGCATTCTGCACGTGTATTTCGACCTATAGTCCCCGACGCTCAACAGGCGACTCCAAGTAGCAGAGGCTGTACGCCAACCAGGTGTGGCGTCACGGTCGGACGACAGCCAACCGCTTACGTTCAAAGGCGGCCACATTCTTTAGAACTACACCAGGAAATTAAAGCAAACGCCCTGAGCTATTGTTGACACAAAAGCAAAAGACAGATACACAGGTTTCCTTTATTTTATAAGTTCTTAGTCATTTTTAAATTATTTTCTATTTCTCTTGCATTTTCTCATCAGCCAACTAACATTTTAAAAATCATATCAAACGCAATCTAGCATCAAATAAACTACAATAATAAAGCAGCACACCATGGGTAGGTAAGATAACATCATCACTGTATGTGTTTGTAGGTAAACAGTATTTATCAGCCGCTTTTGGTGCATTGGGACTGATCCACAATAGTGCCCCCATAAGGCCAAACATAGCCTGAACTGGGCTTAAAAAAAAAAAATCCCCTGAGTTTACCTTACAACTTTTTGGTAGTTTTCTCTTAAAAGGGGGTAGTAACTGTCAGTTGCTTGTACTTTCCTGTTTTATTAGAATAACAATGCTTCATAAAGTTGGACCAGTTTTGAATGTGTTTACTCCTTCAACATGCTGTTAGGCCCAGGCAGTGTGACAAATGAATGAATTTGGAAAGATGTAGATCAAAGGGGAAAAGTCTATTTTTAATCTTTCTCTGAGGACAGTGTGTTCAGTACAGTGATAAGGATTGTGAGAAACTGTCTCAGAGCGTCATCATCTTTTGGTTGCTGATTGAGAATCACTTTTATTCCCTCCTCCTCTTCCTGTCCATCTTCGCTCACCCTCAGCCTGTCAGCTGTTGCATCCATTTCCTTTCTCACCAGTTGGTCTTCTTTCCCCTCTGCTCCAGCTTCACTGTCAGCTGTGCCTTTTTTTACTCCTGATTTCTGATTGGCTTCTCCAGTACATAGCAGCTCCCCCAGTATGAGCGTAGTGTTGGGTGCGTCCATGGAGTGGGAGCGCTGGGTGTGTGTGTACAGGTAGACCCTCCAGGGCAGCATATGCTGTGGCGTGAACGCCAGCGTCTGGATATTGACCAGCTGCATGGCAGCTTGGAGGCTTTGGGGAGAACACTGAAGTACTGCTGGACACCGGACACATTCTTCTATCCACGCACAGTCAACCTCCTCTATTTTCTCAGCACCTTGTCACAACAACACAAGAAGTCACAACGATAGCTTTTAAATGTGGAGAAACACTGTAAAAACTGTGGGTAAAAGACCTGCAACTGACAAATAAAGTCTATCTCATCTCATCATCATCTCATCTAAATGTCAAATGTTCATGAAACAAGAGAAATCATAAATTTTAAAAAATTATTTTATTTTCTAAATCTATGTGCTGGAGACCTTATTACTCACTCAGAGTCAAGAAAGAAAAAAAAAAAAAGAAGCTGTCTGACTCTGACATTTAAAGCCATCTGAAGCCGGAGGTTTTCTCTCACACACAATACTTGTGGTGAGGTCACTGCAGATGATCACCATATGATAAAAAAGGTAAATGAATAATAATAAATGATAACTATTATTATTACAAGTTCATCATTGCTCATGCTGTAATGTACAAACAGTATTTAACTATAATTTTCAATAATGGTTTAAATATCCTGGCTATTTTCTCAAGAAACTAATTGTCATCTAAATGTACAGAAAACGAACAAACCACGTTCATATTTGAAAGTTGTATCAATAAATTCATTCTTCTTACATGAGTAAAACAAGCATTTTCCATCATGAATCTATGCACTCATTATTCATACCTTTTTTGCAGTTTTTATCCACTTTGTGTTGTGTTTTGTTGTGTTTAGTGCTGACGTGGGACAGTTTTCCAATTTCATTGTACCATCATGCTAAGTATGACTGTGCAATGACAAAAAAGAGTTATGATCTCTCATGTTATTCGATAACCCATACTGATGAACCAGAACATTTTTGTTCGGTATAATTAGGTACAGTTAGGTATAATTAAGTGCTTTTACAGCCAAAAGTTTCAGTTTTGTTGTCTTATTTCCCTTTTAACTGAGGGCAGTGTTCTCATGGGAATATCTTAACTATCTGAGCTACAATACATCCTGACACATTCTAACATGCAGTGTGGGTTTCAGACCTTTATCACACAGTTGTGAGCCTTTCAAACATCAATTTGCCACAGCTTGACACTAATCAAATCTAAAGTATATCAGATTTGTAATTGAGTATATACACATTACTTTGGAGGAATTGGTATATTCCACCAATGGAGATTTCACACTCTTGTTAAAGATTTTTAGGAGGCCTACATGCTCCTTTTAACCACATTTGCTATCGAATAAAGAGGAAGCTTTAGCTATGAATCTCTGACTTTAATTTTCAATATAACCTTCCATTTCATTACCGCGTTCAGTATGCAAAGCCTGTCGCTGCAGCCACAGGTGCTCAAAGTCCTCTGGGCTGACAGCTGGGGAGAGGGACAAACTGAGAGGGGCTGCGATGCTGGAAGCCAGGACATTAGTGGAGGAGTCTGAACACCGCATGGCACTGTCTGATCCTAGAGAGGACATACAGAGACAAAGTGAGAGGAAGAAGGGGAGGATGAGGTTAAAAAACAACCAAACAAAAAACAACAGGGCATTCTGAAAGGACAAGGAGGGTTTTAAGTATTATTAAGAATTATAGTAACACAACATTCTCAGACTCACACACACACACACACACACACACACACACACACACACACACACACAACCCCTAAACCTACTAACTGATTGCAGTTCTTGCTGCCAAGGGTACCACAATAAAGCATTTGTGATAACTGGCAATCACTCATTCACATCACTGTGGGGGAATTTTGGCCACTCCTTTTTGTAGGATTGTTTTAATTCCGCCACCCTGCAGGGTTTTCCAGCATGAACAGCATGTTTAAGGTTATGCCAAAGCATCTCAATAGGATTAAAATCTAGACTTTGACTAGGTCTCTCCAAATCCTTCATTGTTTGTGTTTTTTGTTGGGGTTTTTAGAGCCATTCAGAGGTGCTCAAGTGCACTTGGGTTATGCAGGTTTTGGGATAAGTGGGTTACGTGCATATAGTAATTTCTGGACTTTTGGCTTGCTTCCTGGACCACTTCAGGGCTTCATGGTTCCATCAGTTATAACTTCATTAAAAAAAAACAAAAAAACAAAAGTTATAACACGTCATCCAAGTCTCATTAGTCCATAGAATATTTTCCCCAAAGCTAAAAAAAGGAATAAATAAATAAAAAAAATTTTTTTAAAAAGCAGCTCATCATACAACAATAATGACAGGTGAGGGTTTTCTCTGTTTGCGTTGTATTATTGTAGGGTGTAGCTAAGCCTTACTGATCTTGGCTGAAGACCCCGTGTTGTAAGTGTAAAAGGGTCAAGGCGATGAGGGAAAGTAACAAAAAGTGTCCAGGTCGGAAAAAGGAGACAAGGAGGCAAAAAAGGCAAAAGAGACAGACAAGCTGCTATCACCATTTAAGGAAACAAACAAAACTCAAGCATTGGTCAATAAATTAAAAAGTAAGTCCAAAAAAAAAAAAAGAAAAAAAAAAAGAAGAGCAGTTCACTAGCTGCAACCGAGCAGCTCACTAGTTGCAACCACACAAATGGCACTCTGGCCCAGAGCTCACCTTTATCTGGGCTTAAATACTTTTAATTACTGATGTGAGTCAACTGTGTAAAAGAGAAAGGTGGCACCTCAGGCAAAAGAGATTGTAGGACACGCCCATACAGGCACCTTCAGGAGGAGGCCCAGCTAGGGCCGTAACAGTTGCTTATGAGTATTATCTGATTGATGGAACATTCTGTCTAATATTGTGGGGTCTTTACCTAATATTGTTGTGAACTGGTGCAAAAGGAACAAAATGGAATTGAAACATGAATCTGAAGTGTCACAGCAAAGTTTTACACTAAATATGTGGGAAAGAGGTGCAACCTACAACACATCTCTAAATGAGCGACCGTGGCTCAGGAGGTTGGGAATCGTATCTGTAACCGGAAGGTCGCCGGTTCGATCCCTGGGCTCTCTGTCCTGGTCTTTGTGTCCTTGGGCAAGACACTTTACCCTACTGGTGTTGGCCAGAGGGGCCGATGGCGCAATATGGCAGCCTTGCTTCTGTCAGTCTGCCCCAGGGCAGCTGTGGCTACAACCGTAGCTTGCCTCCACCAGTGTGTGAGAGTGAATGAATAGTGGCATTGTAAAGCACTTTGGGTGCCTTGAAAAGTGCTATATAAATCCAATCCATTATTACTGCTCCAATTTTGTAATACCACAATAATTTTCAATTTTGGTTTAAGAACAAGACTTGAAATTGCTGCCGTTCCTTTCAGTACACATACATTTTCCATTAGGTGAGGACATTTCCTTCTAGCAGAAAAACTGCAAAAATATCAGCAACTGAACCCGAATGACAATGTGTTGTTAAATAACCTTGATAACCTCCTGCAGACAGATTAGTCATTGTGTTTTGTGAGGCAGTGAAAGCAGAGTGCATGGCAACACTGCGCTGCAATGCAGTGCTCCATTAGAAATGTGCATACACATAACTTTTTGGTGACAGTATAAAAACTGTGAAAGTTAAATATGAATGTTTAAAGTAAATTAAGTTAACAGATAAAGATGGTGTCATGGACTCTTTAATATTTAGTGCAGTTTTTAGGTTTTATTTGTTGTCCTTCCTACTTACAGACATGTTAGACTACCTACCACACAACTAATAAGCATCATGACTTATGAGCATCTCCAAAGTGAGATCAGTGTGGCTTTACACTCATGTATAGCACTTACTTGTTTAAATACTCAAAGTGATCAGTTACCCCAGCATAGAAAGAGGATTTGTTATGGGAAATAATGTGTAGTTTTGGTCAACAATACAGGCAGAAATAGAACCAGCTCTCAACTCAAGGGAAATGCTGCGGTGGGGCAATAAGACAGCTATGCATAAACAAACGCCCACAAAGCTCAATGAACTGATGCAACATGGTTAAGTAATATGAGAGACTAATACAAATAATACAGAAAATGATTATTATAAAGGTTATTGCTGGTAAAAGGCAATTCCAGAAGCTAGTGAGTCTACTTAGTTTTTCACAAGACTTCATGCGACTGTACTAATTTGTCTAGTGGGCTTTGAGCCTGTGTGAGGTAGCATAATGTAAGCAGCATCAGCAGACTATTTAAGTTTCTTTTAAGTATACTTTATTTCTGGCATCTCCATTCTACCATAAAACCAACCAACCAACCAACCTGGTAGGCAAAAATTCCACTTGCTTTATACAGGACTTTACACACACCTGAACCTCGTTAGTCTCTACCACTGGAAAAAAAAATAGGTCAGACCAAACAATGCAATTCTAAACAAAGAATAGGAATATGATTATGCATGAAATTGACAAACTCATTTACTCAGCTAAATAGTCTGAGAAGTAAATCACTGCATACAATACAACTCAAAGGCTACTTTAAAGAAAATAAATAATACTATACATAATGAAAAGCCCTTCATTTGGTTACACCCAGTGATGCAATCAATGACCTCATGACCCTATATAAACAGGAAGTACTGGGGCAGCCCTTCCCACACACCTGGTTTAGATATAGGACCTGAATAAATGGACAAACGTGGTAAGTATAACCAAAGTAACATAAAGAAACATAATTTACTGGACATTTGCCTGTGAACAGAAGAAAATTCAAATGACCTGATGGATGGCCAAATGAAGCTTTCTGAAGCACTGAAGCTTGTATTGAAAAACGGTTCATTACTCGAAGCTTTT